TTCCCCCCCGCATCCAATAAAGGATGGATTTAAAACAAAGGTCCCATTTGTTGTTTTTCCAAACTGGCGCTGCCCATGTTCAGCATACTTGAAAGGGGCAGCTCACACAATATGTCCCATGAAACGTTTCTCCACACTGAATTACACCCTCTGAACTCAGCAGGGTTAAGTGTGCAATGTAACCATCTTATAAACCCAGGAATATGTTTACAAAAGATAGCCTTGCAGAGGTAAGGGAGAAATTAAAAGAGAGAGAATGTCCTTTTCTCCAGTGATCCTCATGCTGACTTAACGTTTGGCTTCAGGTATGTGAAGGGCATCAGGTGTTTTCCCAAACATTTTGAAGAGCAAGTGGGTTACCTAGAAGGCGGCAGGTGTTCTTAGTGCTACTGAGCTTGAATTTCTTTTACCATGACGTATTTTTGCCAGCGGTTCCTTACATGACAGTTTGAATAACAAATGCGAGACCTCGCCTAAGCAAAACCAAAACAACGCTGTGATATTCAGTGAAAATTAGTGACTGTCTTTCTTTGGCTAACATGAGCAGCCATCTCCATGTGAGGCAGACAAAGAGAGGATTGTGAATGGGGTGTTATGTGCTGACCGTTGCTTTTAGAGCTATCTCTCCATATAACAGCATGTTAAGCTCTTGAAACAAGTTACTTCTTTAAAAGATAAGTGATTCAGTGAGTCGTCTTCTCTTTCTTCTCTTCCATAGCTCTTATTCTGAAGCCTATTTTCATCCAGAAAATATCTTCTTCAACTATTTACATTCTGACAATACTAACACTGCATTGGTCTTTTTCCAAAGGAATAAATTCCCTACCCTACAAATAGTTCTTTGCTTCCATACTCCTTTGTTTTCATGTTTTGCCAAGCATTTGATATCAATAAAGACAAATCTGCTGTCACATTGCCAGAGTAATCAGAATGCTTTATTTTGGGTTTTTTTGTTTGGTTTTTTTTTTACCATTGGTTTTAACTACAATGATACTAATTTACTGAGCTTTCTGCTTCCTTTAGCTTTGGGTTTTGGGGTTTTGGGGTTTGGGTTTTGTTGGTTTTTTTTTTCAGTATTTTGAGTCTCACTGAAGGTAGCAAGGCATTCATTTCTTAAAAATCTTCAACACAGTTTCTACATAACGTTCATCTGGTGGGGGTTTCCTTGGGCTGCCAGGCTGCAGGAACTTCTTAATTGTAGGCATATTGCTCATTCTTATTTTAAAAGCCTAAAAAATAAAAACAACAGAGTAAGAGAGAAATTCCAGCTACTCCAGTAGCAAACCGCTCCTTGCACAGAACAAATGCTTCCCCCTGCTGCTAGAAGAGATCCTAACATTCATTCAGATCTCGTGCCATCTACAGATCCTCCTTCTGTCCAACAGAAGGACCCAGCTGCTGCAAAAAGCCTGTTCTTACCAATGAAGGCAGTACTGGATTCCTAAATCTCTGCTGCGTGAAAGAAACTGAAGGCAAAAATTCAGCATCTGGGAGCACCAGGGGATAGTTTTGAAGATAAAAATACACTAACTCAGCTCATGACCTTTTTCTTTTCCTTGCTGGTTCTGATGGTGCAAACTACTGTGCGGGCAAACCACGATATATGTTAACATGATTTCCATTTTTACTACATTATGTAAGTATCTGAGCTCTGTTTGCATTAGCATGGCCACTGTTGTCCCACTGTCCCAGCATTTCTAGGATTGCGTGGGTGAAGGTGAAAGGGCTGGAGGCATCCTTGGCTCAACTCAGTTGTCTAGTAGAAGCTTCTCATACTGTGTTGTAGCCTAGGGTAGCCAAACTATCTACACAGGGCTGGTAGATATAACACAGTCCCTTGGGGAGACCTATTCCCTTCGGGAGCAGTGGCTGGAGGCCAGGACTAGGATTAGGGAAGAGTTGGGCATCTCAGGTGGCAAGAGATGCCTGTGTTAATGCAACTGAGTCAAGGATCCTGAGACATCTCATTGTACAGACAGTCAGAGAGGACTCACTGATGCAGATTGCAAGCAGCTGGAGACCCCACGGTTAGCTGAGCAATCTTAGATACACAAGAACCTCTTCTAACAATGGGGCTAAGGGAGAGGAACTTCACAGAGTAACAGCCAGTTCTTGCTGGCAGATGTATGAACATAATTTCCTCTTCCTTACAGGTACTGGAAGGATAATGGGGAAATAGAAGAAGGAGGAAGAAAAGTAAAAACTGTGAATTAAGTAACCACCAATTTTAGAAACTTTTTCCCTTCTGGCAGTGAAGTAATCCCCCCATAATTCAAGGCATGGCTTCAACAGAACTGTGCCCATGCCTAGTGGCTAAGATATTTTGCTAGAAGATGGGAGCTAGAGGCAAGAATTACCTGAGGCTGCAAAACTGCATATGAGATAAAATCTGACACATGTTACTGCCCACTTTGCGGCTGAAGTGCCTCATTCTGTCACACTAAATTCAGGCTTAAACTGCTGGGGTTGAAATTTAAAAATTAAGAAAAAGTAATTGGGGGAAAAAAAAAACAACAAAGCCCTTTTTCTCATCAGTTCCAAGCAGAAAACCTGACTGTGATAGTCTGATGCTGAACTGTTTCTTTTGTTAATGGGAACAAAGCCAAAGCCTTTGAGTGCACCCCTCAAATTAACAATTTGTAAGCACAAAGAAGCATGACCTCAAGCCTTGCATCCTCAGCCCAAATTTGCATTGGCTACACTGCTTTATTACCATGATTACAGGCACTTGGGAGGACTACTGAACACTATCTGCTATTTTCCAGTCACAGACTACTTGGGTCCGCTGTATCTCAACTCTTAATGACTCCTGCAGGTCATGCCCCAGGCTTGCCTATGCACTGTGCCCTATAGCATGCTGCAAGCCTGGAGGCTTCTGATTTCTGGTCAAGCCTCACAGCAGAAGTGCCTCACTTCTGCTTGGTTTCAGACTTTGTACATGGCACAAAGGCAGAGAATTCATCCTCGATTATATCAAGTTGATTTTTGAAAGAAAATTGTGGCTTAATGCTAGGGCTTGAGTTTCTAGTCATCCTATAGAAGGCAGAAGTGAAGTGAGGTTACTGGGATCCCAAAATTGTAATACCAGCCAGTACAGAAAATGGCATACTGTGCTTTATTCTAATGTGTCAACCTGTATCACAGACTTAATTTGTTATGTGGTATTAGATAGCATCTACTGGCAGGAAGCAGGAAAATGAAAACAGGGCAGCTTAGATCAGTGATTCCCTTGGGATGACATTAATTTATTTCTATTGAGGAGGCATATACCACTCAAAGAGGCATAGGCATACCTGAACAGGGTTAATCAGAAGCACAGTGTCTTACAATAAATCAACTAAATCAGTTCCCTCTTGTGTTTCATATTAAGCAAACATACGATAGTGACAGTTCCTCAAAGTGCCTACACTCCTGATTTACGTAGCATGGAGACATGATCACTTCAGGGTTGCCCTCTAGCTCCTGAATACAGGCATGCTCAACAACAAAATTACCTGCAACAGAGGAAACCCTGACAGCACAGCAGGTATTTTCTCCTCCACTGCTAAAATGGCTTCAATTAGCTGAACATCTGCCCAGCTGAATTTGTTACCCACGAGAAAGTCTTGGCCATGTTGTTTCAAAACCTGTAGAATACAAAAGAATGTGGGCTGCAGATGAGAATGGGACATATGATGCCTGGCTGCTAAGCCTCACAGCACAGCTTAGAGCTGAACAGTGATTATATCTGAAATTTCAGGGTGGAGTTTTCAGCTGGAAGCTGTGAGCCTAAATCACTTCTTTATTGTTGGGAAAAAATCTGAACTCTTGTAGTACACAGACTACAAACTTTGGTCACTCGGTAATGATGAAAGATGATAGGCACTGGGAACAGGGACAAAACCACACGCTTAAGTAGACTAGTTACAGTCATAGAATTAGAAATAGGGATAATGGAGGAACTAAAAAGTAACTTGGAGAATTTATAAAATTGCCATTTAGATATTTCTTTCAAAGATATGTCCAATGTTGATTCCAGGAAGCAAACTTAGAAATGCAGAATTATAATAGCTAACCAAAGAAAATCTCTGCCTTTGGGAATAAGTTATTATAGTCATAAGAACTTCTAGGATGTTCAGCCTTTATTATTGTTTTCCATCAAAACTAGATGAATGTTACAAAAGTGAGAAATGTTGCCAGATGCCTGAGTTGTGTGGGTTTGGTTTGTTGTTTTCGAAAGTGGGATGTGCAGAAATCTATGACTGTGGTTTTACTAAAGTACTCCTAATCTCTCTACTTGATTTATTTGCAAGGCATTTTTGCATTCTTCTAATGAAAATGTTCCAGCTGAAATTAAATGTAGCAGAGAGATGTGCTCTAAACAAATATAAGTATGGAACTATCCCCTCAAGAAAAAAAGAAATCATACGTGCTTGCTTTTACTTTAGTCAGAAGTTTTGCTGTATATCTGAGAACATATTGCTTTGTTTGCTTTGTAGGTGTTCAAATACCACAGCCCTAACAACATAAGCCAACAAATAGAGAAAACGTGAGGCTGTATTTCCATTTCTTTGAGAGAGCCAAGAAAGCTGAGGATTTGGAACTGACCTGTGCTACAAACATGTTCTTATTTTGGGGAAACTTTTTGATAATTGCAAATACAAGTTTTATAGACACATCCTCACTGTCACTTACCTTTTCAAAGACTGGGAGGTACCTGTTAGTTGCCCTCTCCTTAATTGAGTCAAGATTTTTCTCCTTTGCCTCAGGTGGAGAGAAAGGAAACATCAAAATCATTTGCATCAGATCTGTTATTCCTTCCACATACATGTCAATCCTATTGGTGGGGGGAAGACAGTAGAAAAGAGCACAGAAATTATTTCATCTGTTTTCCAATTAACTAAGCCAGCTTATAGGAATTTTATAACACCAACATATTGTCAATTTTCACGGCCAAAACTAAACATAAACTAAAGCTAAATATTTTTTAAAAGGACTAAAGGCCTGTTTCTGTTCAGCAGCATTTCAGAAGCAGTGGTTAAAACCTAAGCAAAGGCTAGAGTACTTGCTTTTTATTGTGTTAGCCTTTCTCATGGCTTTCTACTGGATTTACAGGATTTAATTTATTATACATAATGCAGCTATCAAATAATAGATTGCTCCTTAAGTGAAAGGAGGTGTTACGGTACAGGGCTCTCTCATTCAAGTCTTTCCCGTAGAGATTGTATTTCCCCGCTATGTAGCTGAGGATGGCTCTGGTCTGCACCATCTTCATCCCATCGATCTCAACCAGGGGCACTTGCTGGAACATCAGGACTCCATCTGGGGTGGAAAGTTGAGGGAAAGCTTGTTAGTTCCTCCTAGACTGCTAGATTTACAGGAAAGCGAGAGACCGAGCACATTTCTTTTGCAGTGTAGAAGAGATCATTGATGTCTTGCCCTAACTGTAAAACTCCATGCAGTAAACTAACATTGTGGGAATGATCAAATATTGACTAGCCTGCATCACACTTTTGTAGCTAGGGCATCACAGTGCAGCCGGGCCCCTTGCTTTACAGCATTGCCAGAGCTTCACTGGCCAATGGGAGCTGGCACCGCCTGCTCCTTCACACTTCTGGACCCTGCCTCATGCTGGTAGGAAAAGCCTGAACCAGCACTTTCAACCAAGGGATCGGAGGAGAATAAAGATCTGTGTTAAATCTGAACTTAAAAAAAATTCCAATTATTTTGATTGCAGATCCCTGTCAGGGACTTATATACATGAGTAGAAAGAATGAGAGGGGTAGTACCACAGCAAGACTGAGCTACTGGCATAAAGGAAGAGGTCAGGCCGCTTTGAGCATCGTGAAGCTACAGAGTTAGAGGCAGGGACTGTGACAGCAGCTGCTGTTTAAGTATTACACAGTCACTCCAAGGACAAGAGTTTGAGAGTCCTCATAGATTTTCATTACAGGCCTATCCCCAGTGTCGTTCCATAAGAATTTAAGCCTATTTAGATACGTCTTTGTAGTTCCATTTTCTCCTGGTGCTGGTAGGAGCGTTTGACTGAGCCTTCAGTGAGGCAGCTCTGAGAGCTAAGCTGACACAGAGATTCAGCATAGCAAAGTCAGTCTTTTCTAGACCAGTTTTCACTGTCTTTGGAGATATTTCCTCCTCCGTTTACACATTAAGAGCATCCAGAGAACAATCCCGCCCTGTTAAAATCACAGCAAAACTCCAAATCCAACCAGGCAGCTGCCACTTTGCATTGCTTAAAGTTAATCGTTTATTTTAATTGCTCAATTTTAATCCTTTCAGTGCATCCTTCTTTCAGGTATAAGGGTTCATTTTAACAGGCACGTCTGTTTGCTTTTTTCTTCACAGAGCTATTAAAATACTTTGGTAGTCTAGAATTAATAAACATTCTTCACTCATTCTATATTATTAATTTGCAGTTTAAATTCAAAGAGTAGTTCTCTCTGCAGCAACGAATAGCCTGTGTTTGTTTCTTGTAAACATTCACAGAAAGATTTTGTGTCTTCATGTCTTTCCACAACACGCCTCTGCAGCTTAAGGAACAAATATTACTTGGTATTTATCTAGCGGAAACACAGCAGGACGGGAGAACTAATAGCTCTGCAAGGATATTTTTCAGCAGAAAGATGTGAAGCGAAAAATAAAATCTGAATTTCTGGCCCTTGACAAAAAGTGATGCAGCAAATATGAGTGAACTGAATGCACGGTTTATTTCTTATCTACAGCAAAGAGGGATTTCTCTCTTATGACCAGTAGCAGGCTGCTTCTCCTCGTTTTGCAGTGAGAACCCCTTCACATAACCACTGCAGGATTAAAAACAGTTTGCTAGTCATTTTGCAGATTGGATTGTGCCATCTGAAGGCTACCTTAAAAACAATCATCTAGATCTACTATTTGTCACCGACCAGCAGAGCTTGTTGATATCCAGGTAGCAACTTGGGCAACCTGTGGCTACACAGATTGAGCCAAGTTAGTCGTCTCTCAGGCCAACGGGTACAGGTCTGGCCAGGCCGATGCTATTTAACTCTCTCAGCTGTCTGTCTGCAAGCTGCCTGTTGGGAACAGCCCCTGGCCCAGGCTTCATCCTGGACACTGCTGGGGCATTGCTTAGAAGATCATCAGCTGGCATGGGCCAAAGTCACGCCTGGACCATTCTAACAATGTAGTGGTGTCTAAACACAGGATGCCCTGGCAAAAATAAGAAAAAAAATTAGAGGGAGAGGTAATGTGCGGTTATTTGTGTTCAGTCCTGCCCTGCATGACCGGCAGCATTCCAGAGGTGCCTTTATCAGGATGACTAACTAATTTGTCTTTCTTCAAACCATTGTATTAAACCCCACCTTTTTCTTTGTATTCTCACTCTCTTAAGCTCAATATATATACACTAAAGCCCTTGATCTTCTTTATAAAACTTTTCTATCCTTTTCATCACCATTTAATTCTTCTCTCTGGATATGGATAAGCTTGGACGCTATCCAGGATTGTACCACTCTGTCTGGATTAATTAGTCCTGTGAAGCAAATTCAGATTTGGGCTTTCAGTACCTGAGCTGTCATATTTAGAGCTATAACTGGTGTCTTTACACTGCACTGCTCTCCCACGTTGTCAGATTCCCAGCCAGCTGGACCTGCAAATTTAATTCTGATCTTCTTGATACCACTTCTTTTTAATTTTTGTTCATTTTAGTATTCCTGTCAGAATTTCTTTAAACACAGCTTTTCCTGTCTGAGCAAGCAGCTAGAATGCAGCCGAGTCCTCTTCCAAGTCTCCTAGTATGTCTTGGCAAGCTCAGCCTGCTGTAAGGTTTCTCTTAAGTGTCTTGGGCAGCAGGTAAGCTGCGGGGCAGGTGTGATCTGTAGTGCTCCTCACAGTCCCAACTCCTTCCCCACCCCGGCAGCAAGGTCTTCTCCTTCCAGGGTGGCTGCGGGGGGGTTCACTGCTGGATTTCATCTGGCCAAATATCAAGGGCAGTGGCTGGAGGTATGCACTGGTGTTTGGGAACGGGTCTCACTCCCAAGGTTGACATGAAGCCTTTGTGGCTTGCTGCTTTGACCATGTCAGACTTTCCACAGGTCTCCCTGCTGGCTCCCTGTTTTTCAACTGGGGGAAGCTTCATGGTTCAGGCTTATCCTGCTTAGGACTGTCACTAGGGTGTTTGCACAGAGCTAGCACAAATGAAAACTGGCTTTCCTGGCGATTTTGGTGCCATGCTGGCCTTTCATTTAGAGGCTTATCTCACTGAGGTTCAGAACCAACATACAGGTACATCTATACTAGTCAACTCAACAACAGCTCAGGCCAGCTGACACAGACTGGCCACATTCACTCTATTCAGCTCTCTCTGCCTGTAGAGCATGGTGGTCACATCTAAACGACATCTTGGAAATGGCCCTTGGCCTGGGACGACTCCCAAATGATGCCTAGGAGTTGTTTCGGAGAGTGCTATTTGCCCTGGACTAAAAATGTGCTAGGAACCTTGCTAATAGTTCAACAGCATGGATAATTAAGTTGCATTAAATAGGAACGTTTGCTACCCCTGTTTAATGTACTACAATAAACACAGTCACAGAAGCTATGGCTTTTAGCTTGTAGGAGTTGTTTGGCACTGGAAAGAACAGGTTACTCAAAACTGGTATTTCAGTATTCTAGGTGTGCACCTAGAAGTTTGCACTGGTTTAAATAAACTAATTTTAAACCACAAATTTAGCTAAATTGGAGCAATTTTTTGAGGGACTAAGCCTCAGGCATCGGGATTCTTACCTTTGATTAACTTTTCGTACTGCTCTCTTGTTTCCAAAAAAATTTCTTCAAACTGGAAAAGGAGAGAGCACAGTGTTACATTGTTGTATTTGAACATTTTTCTTCTGTAAGTGACTGCACATAACCACGCGCAGAATGACCGAACCAAGCGAAAGGTAATGGGCTGGATCTTCAACTGCGCTGTTTGGCCGCAGCTGTCCTGAGCATCCCCCACGCCTGCTGACGGCTGGGGAGGAGCAGAAGGGCCTGGCCGCTTCTGCCCCAGGGCACTGATTCAGAAATAACCTAAGTGTGGGTAGAAAGAGAGTACAGACATCTACAGGAGGAAGACAAGTTGCAGCCAGCACCAAGGGAAGCACAAGGTAAATCAACTATTTCTAACGCCACCCCAGGGCATGTAAGTCAACAACACTCTTTTGTTTATACACATTGTAACTGCAAACTAAATAAGACTGAGTTAAGGTGGTTTTGCACAGTTGGAAAACTCAGATTAATTAAGGGCCTTTAAATAAATCCCCATTTTGATCCATTATGATTAATTACTTCAGGGGACTAATACTAGCTCTAATAAAGTCCAAGCTCCACTGAGTTTGCATCCCAAATACTAACCACCAAACAAGGTAGTTACAAACGTGCAGTGCCACTGGCCAAATGAATTTAGCCACCCTCTTGCAGCCATTTACCCTCCACATGCATGTTAAATTGTTCCTTACTGAGGCCAGTTGAAAACAGCAGTCTGGAACACTGTACCAAGTGTCAACTAACCTCCACACCGGCTGCTGCCAACAGCCATCGTATGGGTTCCATTCGCCCCCTTCCATTACAGTAGGTAAGCCTGGGCTTCCCTGACATGCTTCTGAGCTCCTGGTTCCCTGAAAAATATTAAGCAGAAAACAGTATCTCATAAAACTGGTGTAAGTACCATTATTTTGAGGGGAGAGAGAGTCTTTTATTCTCACTATGCCTGTTGAAGTTTAAACAACATCTGGTTTAAAACATAAAATGAGAGATGGACCAGCTAGGAAAGGAAAGATGTGCAGATCTGTAAAGCCTTCCCCAGTGTTACTAGGGAGGTTTGTTATGATTATAAGCAAACTCGGACATGTTTAAACAAGTGGTATGAGTCCCGAGCTACAGGGGGAACCTTACTGCATTTTAAGACAATTATACAAAGCCACTGAAAATCCTACCACATCCTCAGGGAAGTTACTCGCTTACCCTCATTGCCATCATCCTCATTGAAAAGATGAAAAGAAGAAAAAGAAAACATGTTTTACTGGTAGGCTGAAATTTGTCCAGCTTTGTTTGCCAGATGTCGAAGTGCATTTTGCAGCTTCAACTGCCATCCACCTCTTCCCTTGAGTAGGGGCAAATGAATTGTTAATCTTCCTTTTATTACATGAAAGAGGCTGAGCTTCCTTGGTGGTCCTATTGAATGGCTACAGCCTGTTTCCTTGCTGCTTACGGCAGCCTTGAGGTGTCCCTCAAAGCCAGATCTGCTTTGGCTTCAGGTGCCCCCAAAAGTCCCCCCAGAGCAGCGGGGACCTGTGTGCACAGGGGGCTGGCACATTGGAGGCTGTCTGGAGCTTGCTGTAACAGCACCTCTCTCCGCACCATGAGCCATGGAGTGTGTGGCAGAGACAGCACGTCTGTACTGAGCTGTTTCATACGTAGGGACAACCAGCTGGACTATTTGTGCTGACACTTGAGTATAAGTGTTTGCAAATCCAGGCCTTAATTTCTCTGTGCTTCATTGCCCTAATTACTGAAAAAATGGGACTAGCATTCCCCCTTCATAAAGATGTTAGGGTCATACACTAATGATTGGGAGGAAAAAAAGCTTAAAAATGGATATCCTAATCGTGTTCTAATGGCTCAGAAACCAGAGTTAGAGTGCCTGATTTAAAAAAATAATTTTACAGACAACCCCAGTTTTCTCAAAGCTAAAAGCCAAACCTGCAACATTACGTCTGTCACACTCTGCATCCACATGACATTTCCCATTCGAATCAAGTTCAGTACGCTCTAGTGATATGTTTTCTTCAAGTCACAGTGCTTTGTATGTCTACTTAAAATAAAGTACATTTGGAACGTATTTTGCCAAAACTTGATTTTAAAGAACAATATCAGATTGAGAGTTCTCCCTTGAGCAATTCTGGTAAGAACCAAGTCATGTTACTACAATAAATAGGGAAATTTGGGGTAATTTAGACCACGTAACCCAAATACACATAAAGGAAAAATTTATCAGTTTAAAGTGCAAATAGCTGTTGCTAATTACAATGTTTTGCCTCTAAGACAGTGGTTTTATTAGTTTCTGCACGTTATGCGACTAACTTTCACTATATGGCAGTGCAGCTTATCTATGTAGTTCACAACAGCTAACTAGTGCTTCTTTCATTATCATACTTCTCAGATACATTGCATCCATATCATTTCAACATACATTGCCCCAACTTGTAATGTGCAGAGACTTAGAGTAAATAAGACTTTTCCTTTAACTAAAAAAGCCAAAGACTGCAATACCAAGAATATGAAACTTAATCTTCTTGGAAAATTTATCTATTGTTTGCAGAACAAAAGCAGAGGGAGTGAAAAGCCTTAGGTATCATTTTATCATTTTACATGAACAAGAAATTCTATCTGGCATTAAATTATGTGAGAAGAACAATGACAAATGCAGAATAAAAACCTGTCATCAGCTTCATTTTTTTTTTAAACAATAATAACTCTGTTAGCTGTAAGTGGATTTTAATTGTCTTAAGCTTCTGACACAGAAAAAAACCCTTGGTTTTTGGTAAAGTCTCCTCAATCTTTAGATCCACTGAATGTATCATCTCCATTGACTATACAGGGACCTGACACATGTAACTCACATACAGACAGCTACATTTCGGTGCCTGGGTCTGGACCTGAGTCTTGCCTTGAGGGCTCAGTTTAGTTGCCCATTCCTACGTGTCTACTGACACTTGAGATTCCCTAAAGGTGGGCAGATACAACCCTGACTTACTGGAGACGGGGCAAGTTTTTCTACCTTAAATCAGTATACCTATTCATCCAGACTCTTAATGCCTTTTTGCATTTATTTGGGGAAAGGTACAGCTAACATAGACAAAGATCCCTCGGGACTTCATTCAGTCCTCCACTATTTTTCTAAAATTTTGGTAAAAGATTTGCAGGATGTTGTGTTTAAAAAAAAAATCGATCCATTTTTGATACAGTATGTTGATGATTTATTAATAGCTGAGGAATCTTGTATAGCTGACACCCATTCCTTACTGTTTGCCTTAGCTGAAAGAATTGTAACATAAGTTACAGTTTTTATAAAAGTGTAGAACATCGGCATTTATCTGAAAACCATATTAAAACCATTCAAAATCTTCCCTGACCAGTTACTAAAACCAAACGCAAGCCTTTTTAGGAGCTGTAGGATTCTGCCACACCTGGATAGCTGCTTTCGAGGAAATGGCAAAACCCCTGATACCGATTATTGCTCAAGATGCTGGAGAACCCATTCACTGAACAACAGACAAGGTAAAGACATTCAAGCTTGTCCTGGTTTTGGCTGGGATAGAGTTAATTTTCTTCCTAGTAGCTGGTATAGTGCTGTGTTTTGGATTTAGGATGAAAATAATGTTGATAATACACTAATGTTTTAGTTGTTGCTGAGCAGTGCTTATACTCAGTCAAGGACTTTTCAGCTTCTCATCCTGCCCTGCCAGCGAGGAGGCTGGAGGTGCACAAGAAGTTGGGAGGGGACACAGCTGGGACAGCTGACCCAAAGTGGCCATATGATGTCATCCTGAATGAAAAAACTGGGGGAAGTTGCGGGGGGCG